ACCAGTACCTCTGTAACTCCATAATAAGGTAAAAGAATTAGTATGATGTGAAAGAGAAATTTACTTTAGCACTGAACGAAAACGAAATTAGAAGTTCTTGAGATATGCCCAAACAAGGTTTTTATGACATGCTACCTCTAGAGTGTATCATACATTATGACATGGTGACTATGCGAAGGACGATTGGAGTGTCTTGTAGTGAACTTACTATACATCTAGAGGTAAAGTCATGTGAAATGTATGTAACACCTATTTGTTGGAACTGCAAACTAGAATGTAAGAGTAAAGAACACCTAGTCATATTTTTAAGAAAGTCACGGCAAATATTCAGGAAACCAAGGCTACACATATGTTTTTAATGTGTACCTTTGTCGATAATTTTTCATTTACTGTATAATGTGTAATATTTGTGATAATAAAACGAAGACTTGTCCTAATCATTTAATTTTCTTACGTGCAATTTATACATACAATATATCCCTAGGTTTTTAATACAAACCTGCTTTCTTTTATTACCTCGGCCTCATCTGGTCAAATTATATTCGTTGGCACTCGAAAAACAGATGAATATTTCCTAGAAATATTGTAGTCAATGTTGCTGTACTTAGTGAAATTAGTTTTTATTTCTAAGTAGTAGTATGGTATCTGTCATACATTATATACATAACAATTCGTGTGTTTGTTCAAGGAATAAAATTTCTTATATTGTTAGGATAACAGTAATATGATGTCCCTTTAAACATCTGAATTCTTCTGTTCCAAGAAATTTTACTTCTTGAAACGCATTGCATACAGGATTTCATTCTAAATGACAAACATTGAATTTAAGATGAGTATAGCAAAGGAAATATGATTTTAGATTTTTTAATTTCATTTTTGGGTCTCTTTTTCACGAGCCAGGAACCGGTATAATATCTGGGTTGTATTACTTACCCACCATCCGGAAATTATTCACTGCTCCAATATTCGTGATATTCATCTATACCATAAATGTGTCATGGAAATTATAAGAGCTGAAGCATGTTATATTTGCTTTTTTTTCATGTGCACTCCTCGTCTACAGGCCACAATAGTAAATCCAAACCTGAAATAACCATGTACAAGCTGCAATGTTTTGAAATTTGACACGCATTTTTTTGTAGTCAATATCTGAACAAGTTCGTTGTAAAAACTGAAAAGTACTGGCCATTTGTGAATTTGTTACTGGTCTCTAGTTTTGTGCGGCCTGTGAATTATTATTATATTAATCACCATCATGATCATTACTACAATAATAATGATTATCATTGCTATTATTTTCATGATTCATTTATCTATTTATCATTATCATCGTCGTCATCTTCAATACTAGCATGTACGTTTTACTTCAAAATAAAAATCATTACAATAAGTCGTATTGGCAATTAAGTTTACTTCTGGTCAGTAACAAGTGAATATTCAAACATTTAAAACCACATTGGGGTTCAGTAACGTTTTCCAACTATAAGGAATTTATATAGGTTCATGAAAGCAGCATACTGCACCTCTTTGTTTTGTTTCTGTTTGGACGAATAAACAATTTTATTACAACTTAACTATGGAGGCCAGCACAGATCGCGACGTCTCCTTGCCGCGTGGTCCATGCAGGGAAGGCACTGACTGGTAAAGCCCCACATGATAATTCCCATAATCCTATATGAGCTTATTTTCATGCTTGCTTTTTATTTCACCTCACCCCCCTCATGCCCCGCCCCCTCTCTCAAAAAGTTGATTATTCTGTGGACAGTTTTCAAAATGAGAACGCGTTTTCGACCGAACTTTTAAGCCCTCTTCCCCTCGGAACACATGTTTTTTCGTAAACTAGAATGCTACGTTTACACACTGTCTTCATTCAGATACTGCAGTAAATCAGTATTGTTGACATGGAATATGAAATCGTTTGTGTTCACCTTTACATGATATATGAAATGTTTGTAAACTGCAAGATCTATAAAAAGAAAAAAAAATCAACACCAAAGTTAAGCCATTAGGCATTTTTGAGGAAGATTCAAAGTAGGGAAATCTATTAATATCGAACGCTCATGTGGCCTCACAGTATTTTAGTAACTCAGTTGTAGTACGGCCAATTTAAAGAGCTAGAAATTTACAGATCAAGGATTTTAAATTATTACTATTATCCGGTTAGTTGTTTACAACACTTTTATAATACTTTTGACACTTTTAGTTATTTACCTACATGAAAACCGTAATGGCCTCATCTTCCAAACTAATCCCTGATGACTATATCATTTATCATGCCATATTCCTATTTAAAGTCAGAGGAACCATTCACCTTGCAGAAGTTGACTGGATACATCACACAACAATTATGGGTTGAATAAAAAAGTTTTACTATTGCATGTTACAAGGCTATATTCTGCCCTAGTGGGTATAAATTGGACTAGCTTTCTTTACAGTAGGCCAAGTCATACTCCGGGGATTATACTGTACTATCCCAAAGTATAACCGGGTCTATTCTGGG